TTGGGGGGGGGGGGGGGGAGGCAGACGCGAACCTACCCACCACAAATCGCGACAAAACAAAACAAAACAAAACAGACAACAGCAGCAGCAGCAGCATCAGCAACCACCACAACAATGACAGCAGCAACAACCACCACAACAACAACAGCATCAGCAGCCACCACGAATACCTGGTTGTGCATGATGTCCGTGATGTCTTGGAGTTTGAGGAGTCGTCTGTTCTGGCTTTGCGCCACGGAAAAGGACTCCTTGGCCATGAGAGACGTGAAAAGCTCCTGCGCAACGAACGGGAAGAGAGGGTGGCCATGGGCACACACAAACACACACACAGCGCGCTGGGGCGTCAAAACAAAATCGGCAAAACAAACGCATATATCATCATCTCGACCACATATAAAAGCCCGACGTATTTCCGATATCTCCGGCGGGAGAGGGGGGATTGAAGGGGGCACACGCCTGCCCGGGCCGGGCCATGCTGTGGAAAAGCCGGGGCGGACACGTGCGCCGCAACGCAGCTCTATCTACACACAAACGAGCAACAGCCGTGTCCAAAGTTTTCAAGTGTCAACCAAAGGCTCTGCTGCTGCTGCTGCTTCTGCTTCTGCTACATAGCTCTCTCGCTCCTACCATGGCCTTTCCAATGAGCGCCGTGGCCTCCTTGGTCACGCTCTGGACATCCTGATCCAGCTTGATTATCCTCCCGATCCGGCCTGAACGGCAACAACAAACATACGCGGGGGGGTTAGCTGCCTGCGGCTGCTGCTCAAGAGAGAGGCGCATCTGCAGGAAATTCGCGTCGCTGGTCCTCGCACGGTGGTTGCGGCATGCTGTTCCACGAGCGTACCCGATTTTGTCAACCTGGTCCTTTCCAGCTCAGGAATATCTCATGCCATGGACCCCCTCCTGAGTTAAATTCGATCAGCCGAACACCTCATGTAGCGTTCCACGCCACCGACCCGCCCCCTTACCCCCCGCAGGTAGAATATTCGACCAGCCGAACACGTAACGTATAGCGTGCCATGCAAACGCCCCCCCCCCCCCCCCCGGGGGAAAAAAATTCAGGAACGGGAAAAGTGTAAAGGGTTTCATTCAGGGGTTCCCCCCCCCCCCTGGATGACGGGGGGGGGAAGAAGTTTTGTAGGGAAAAATTACATGAAAAAGATTTTTGCGTGGGGGGGAGATTAATGGAGAGGTGGTGTTGGGGAAAAAAAAAAAAAAATCTGGTGTTTGGGGGGGGTTCTGGGCGAAAAAACACCTGCACGGAAGAGGTAGTTCCTAGAAAAAGAAGGTAGGAAAGAATCTCCTGTGTTTTTTTTAAAGCGAAAGAATGGGGGGGAGAAGTATTATATTTGGGGTAAAAGCGGGGGGGGGGAGCGGCCTTTTTCTCTTGGGGGAGGAAAAACCCTTTTTTTTAACACAGTTGTGCCACAAAAAGGGGGGGGGGGAAGAATTTACCCAAAAAAAAAAAAAAAAAAAGGGA